GCCGCCGTGTTCGGATTATGGGCCCGCAGACCATGGGCCTGCTGGGTTGGCGACATCTGGAAGAGTTGACGTGGGATCTCGGCAACCAGAGCTGGCGAAGACGGGAAACCACCCGCAGCGTGTTGGAAAACGTACCGACACCAGCAGGCGTCGGAGTGGTCCGGCCGGTAGGTGGGCTGACAGCCGGTCGGAAACCTGCCAATGGCGTGGGCTCGAAGCCCACCTCGAATGATGCAAGACGCTGCGGTCTAAGCCGAGGGATAAGACGACGAAAACCGCACTAGCTGTATTGCTGTGCTCAGTGTGACTAACACACACGCAAAATATTGTTATTTTTGCTAATACGCTGTTCGTAATTGTCATATTAGTGATTATAGTTTAAATTCTTCCTTTTTCAAATAGCGTTCTGGAAGGTGGGCAGATGCTTGCTATCACGTTTCTTTGATTTGAGACAATTACGTTATGCGCGATACGGCATCGGATCAAGTTGTTGGAATTACTCCTGCATCTCGATTAAAGACCAAGTTGATGACATTTATGGGACAGATTAATTACGCTACAAGAACTGCCCAGCTGTTCTTTCGGAGGCTTCAAAGTGCCGCCCACCAAGCGCTTTGTGAGACACAGCAAGTTTCGAGAGGAATGCACTGTTAGTGATGTGTAAGTCATGACAAATCAGAACCGGACATTCAAAAGAGAACATAGGTGCAGTGAGACCGTCGGTTGTCCGAAGTTCTGAGAACTCCTGTCGCCAGCGTCCGCGCTAGAACTCGAAATCTAGTTCACCACGGTCCAGAGAATCACATGGGATCGCTTAAAATCATGCGCGTACAAAGTACACATCCAGCACTTTCTGACCGGCTCGGGTAGAGGAGCGGGAATAGATATGTGTCAACGGTTCAATCAGATGATGGAGTCGGATGAAGGCTGAATCCATCAGGTGGGGCTTGGAGACGAGGCCCACTCTCACCTCAGGTGCGTGATCAACAGCCAAAATCACCACCTCTGGAGAAGCTAGTGCCGGGGTGCCGGTAGTGTAGTGGTTGACGCGTCTGCGTTAACCGCTGCGCATCTGGGAAACCAGAGGCACGGGGTTCGATTCCCCGCGGTGCCCGCCCTTCCTGCCAGGGTGAGAGGCAGGCGACACCACATAGCCTTAGCAGCTGGGTGCGTCGTAAAGCCCCAATGGCAGAGAGGCGAGCGCCGTTGGGCTGCCGTGAGTTAACGTGGCACGACGGGACCCTTTTGGTTGGAAGATGACGACGTGAGGGCGGTGACATTGAATAGGGAGAACTATCAAGACGCTCAAAGTTCGCCGCTCCCGCAGCGGTCAGGTACATTTAATCGTCAGTGGTGCTGACAGTATGAAGCCATTTAGAGCACTGTGTTGCGCTGGGATACTCTACTAGAAACCACAGAGAAGATTTCCGGGACGCTTTGGCGGGCATGATCCCCCCCCCAAAAAAAAGAATATACCTGGTATCCAAATTGTCCCGGCTAGAACCCATCTGAATTCCACGTTCTGCCGGCTAGAACCCATCTGACTTCGTTGTGCGGAGCTGCGCGAAAGGCGACGTCTATATTAATGTCATCGCACAGTGCTGCTCCAAGAAGCCATTGAGAGGAGTTCTGAAGATCTGTGTCGCATCCAGCATGCAAGAGAGTGATGAAAATTTAGTTTCAAGCATCAAAGCTTGTCTGAAGAATCGCTAAGGTCACATCTGTGACACCGCAGCGTCGTCACAAGACTTAAAACTTCATGGCGTTGCAAGGATGCCGTAACTGGTTACGTTGAAAAGCATGAGATGGTACATAATTTCCTAAGTGTCTCATTCACAAAAAGTAGTTGTTTTTGGCCCAAGCCCACGGGATTCGAAGGCAAGAAAGCATCACAAGTTCATCAGTTCTTTTGAAACGCCCTGCGATTTCTCACGCATTTACGAAACCCATTACTCTCAGCCGCCAAAGGTGTTTAGCTCCATTAGCTCAGTCCTTGTCATCATCCACATGACAACAGCTGACAACTGTCACACCTGCCCTCCTGGTCAGCACCTTCTGATGCGAAGTGCTCCGTCGATATCGTTGGACTCGGACGGACCGAGCATGGCGACTCCAGGTCAGCCCTCCGCCCGGAAAGCGTCGGCACCACCAGGCGATTGCCGTCCAAAACGGGAGGTCTCGAGGCGTGGACAAGAGGGCCTGTTTTGATCGTATTGCGTTTCCGGTCAGCTGCCGCTCGCATCTGGGAGACTTCGCTGTGCTGGGAATCCCACCACACGAAAGCGGCAGGGGCCTTCCTTTCGTTTCTTTTTTATCATACGAAAACGTGGATAATGCGTTTGACTTACACCGGTTACGGATCGTGCGTAGATACCGCAATTGGCCGATTGTGTCAATTTCCGCGGATGTCGATGATATCGCCTGTATGATGACGTGTGCGATGATCAGCCGAGTGTTGCCTGTCTCTGTCTCTGTCTCTGTCTCTGTCTCTGTCTCTGTCTCTGTCTCGCTCTCGCTCTTGCTCTTGCTCTTGCTCTTGCTCTTGCTCTCGCTCTCGCTCTCTTGTGCTTAGTCTTGTGTGTCTTTTGACAGTCCAGTCAGGCAAGCTGGCGTAGAAAATCGGACGCAACATTGTCTGTCTCGCTGCTTCGGTTTAAGAATCGTTCAGTCAAACATATCATACTGACGGCCAACTGAGAGCCAGACGGTTCCCTGTGCGGCGTGCTAACGCCGCGAGTTCAGAACAGGACGTGCTTTCCGCAAGGCTGATGATGTGGTTGTGCTTCGAAAGTGTGTACATGCATGGATGTAATCATTCGGAGACAATTTTTTCTCCTCATCTCCTGATGCGAACTGGCATTTGTCTAATTACCCTGAAGGCAGGCGATGCGAATGCATCTTGACACGCTGACGCCAGCGGGACGGTATAGCAAAGCCTTGCTGAAGCCCCTTCCTTTGTGATTTGGTTCGTTTGATGCCGTGCGGCATGTCGCTGCATGGATAGCTGGATATCACTTTCTTTGAACATGGCAACATTCGTTTTTTGCCGCATATCCGCCTTCCACGTGACTGTGAACACCAGCGTGCCCTGGCATGATCCGCTGTTTACATTCACTCGTTATATTTACGATTTATTTCCTGCAAACTCACGTGCCGGCCGTCGCCGTTGATAGCTACCTGGGTATCATCACGTCGCCACGTTGCTAATCGTCAGGCGTCGTGTGTCCGGCAGGTTCAAGGTCAAGCTGACGCCGAGCACGGGCAAGAAAGGCAAGGCGGCCAAGACGGCGCTGCAGGTGTTCGCCGCAGACAAGGCAGCCTCGGCGCGGGAGCGCGATCTGGTCAAGTCGCTGAAGCTCGAGGACGTCACGCGCAACTTCCCCGGCCGCCTGAAGATTAACCTGCCGCAGACGGCGCGTACCAAGAAGCGGTAGCCGTCCACAGGCGCGCTATTGGTATAGGAGAGCTGTAAGCGATCACCGCGCCGCTGATCGCTGAGGCTGCTGCGCTTCGTAACGGTGATTCGCCGAATGCGTGACCTTACGAAGGTCAGGTGCACACCACCCTGAATTCGGGCCGGTGATTGGTCGAGTGGTTGAAGTGCGTGGCGGCGGTTGCGGTGTCGCGCCATTCACGTTGCTGTGCTTGTTCGGATGCGGTGTTGTTACGTGGGGAAATCGCTCTTCGTAGCGGCGATTTTTGGCAGTGGTGGGTGCAGATTTTCATGTGATTTTGTACCGAACTTCGAATTTCCGAGCGTTGTTTTCCACAGACAATACATGAATTTTGTAATGAGTAATGTCGTCAGGGTCGTATATTCCGCGGTTTCATGAGATGCACTTCGTGACCTTTTCAGGACACTTGTTGGGCTAGGGCAGTTTGAAAATACACTACTACGCTCATGTAGGTGCTTGTTAGTAAAATTTGGTGGAAGTCCATGCGAGCTTTTCCTGTCAGAAACGACAGACCAGGGAACGCTCATAACGCTGAGAAGACTTTGACGTCGTCTAGCCGAGTCCTCCCACGCGGCTCGTCTGCAACCGGAACCCATTCGGATCGGGCTATCTTTGTGCCGCTGGTTTGCCACGTCCAGGCTGCTGACAGAACGTGAGCATTTGTGCACCATCCTAGTCGTCATCTCAGCCTTGAACTTCAAACAGCGTATCCACGAGATACGGAGGGTGTGGGATGAGTCAGAGGACCGGATGGTGGAGAGTGCCAGCTTATCCACGAGATACGGAGGGTGTGGGATGAGTCAGAGGACCCGATGGTGGAGTGCCGATGTCGGGAGGCACAGGACCGGCGGCCAGCGATGATGCACCCTCAAGACGGATGGGAGTCACCGCCGCTGTACTGCCGCGTCCGGGCTGCGTCAGGGACGGCATCAGAGGGCTCCACCTGCGCAGTTGGAGGCCTCTAGGGCTTCAGGGGGCTCCGCCTGCGCAGTTGGAGGTATCCAGGGCTTCAGGGGCCCCGCCTGACCAGTTGGAGGCCTCCGGGGTTCAGGGGGCCCGCCTGCGCAGTTGGAGGCCTCCAGGGCCTCAGGAGGCTCCGCCTGCGCAGTTGGAGACCAGTGTTCTACGGGGGCTCTACCTCGCGGAGTTGGAGGTCGCCCCTGGGGCTTCCGCTGCGCTTACCATATTTAGCCGGTACGGTGTACGTCAATGTATTACCATGGGAAGCTCCGGCGAGACCAAAGAACATTATAGATGACTGGGGATATGTGATGCAATGCGTGAAGGTTGGTCATGCGTCGGCCATTCATTGTCGTCTTTCTGATCTTTGCCCTCGGTAGTTGTCCACCCATGGCTGCACCCGTGGCTGGCTGCGACGCGGGACGAATGATGTGGCAGCAGAAGTGCTTGTTATCATCACATAGATGCGACCCGAAAAATTCCTCTCCTGATTTGGTAGTTGCCTGAAATGATATAGCTGCTGCGCGTAGGATAAAAAATCGACGCCTTAAAAAGTAACGGATCTCGTAGTGCGCTTGACGTTGCCATGCCGAGATAAAACGATACTTTCCGCAACTGCGTTAAGTTCCTTTTTTGCTTCCCTGCTTTTTTAGTTTGTTTACCATGCAGGTTCGCTGTTCAGCTTAATGCAAGCGAAACTTGGCTTATATGTTCTTTTTGTAACTTGCTTATTACGAATCACTAACGCGCAATGAAAGAAGGACGCTTCTCGGATCAGCAGTTAAATTGCCGCTGAGTTGCCAGCGGAACAGCCAGTCGCCGTAATGGCTGACACTGGCTGGCTGTCGGCTTTTGACGACGACCTAATCACATACCGTGGTGTGTTCAGCACCAGCCTGGCCGACCTCTCCGCTGTACAGGTCAGCACAGCCGAGCCGGCCGAATAGCTCTCCGGCATTTTGCCGACGTGCTCCTGACTTTCGTCTAGTTATCTTGGAGTGCCAGACTTTTGCTGACCGGCCTTTTATGTCAGATCGCATACATTTTTCAGCTTTGGTCTCATTGCTAAGTTTTGTGTATGCTTTTGTGGCACTTAGGGACACAGTGTATCGCGTTTTGTCGAAAGAGTAGTGCTTGGAGGTCTTGAGAAGACATCCTTCAAACAGTTTTCTTGAGCGATGAAATAGACGGCAATTGTCGGATTCCCCACTGCTTGACTCAACACTTTCCCCGCCTGCGACTTTGTTTACGACACGCCCAAACTGGCCGGTCCTGCCAAGCGCCGGGGCGCGTAGCATGAGTCCGTCAGGCCGCCCCCCCCCCCCCCCCCCCACACCAGCCTCCACCTGGTGTCGGTCGCCTTCAGCCGCCCGCCCCACCGCCGGCAGCTGACGGCCCGGCGGCGACGCCAGGTGCGCGCGCGCGTCTTCTTCTTCTGCGCCGTGACGTCACTGGTGCTGCTGCTGCCGGCCGCCATCCTGGTGTCGGTGGCTGTTCAGCTGCACGTGCGCGCCAACTCGCCGCTAGCCGTCTTCACCTACCTGCTGTTCGTGCTGGCAGGTCAGAGCGAGGGGGGGGGGGGCGCCGGCTGCCGATGGGCGGCATTAAGCCGGCACCCTCCGTCAGCAGCGGCACGCTGGTTGACATTGTCCTCCATATTAGCCCGGTGATGTCAGAAGCACATCCCTGTTGCTCCAAAATGGCTATTTTGAAAGCATGCACATCCGTTGATTTATCAGTATTTTGGTATATTTTTGCCTACTCATATACTCCGTGTGCGTTCGCTGCTCAGCTCAAGCCCAACCCACGTCCCGCCCATGGAAGGAGCAGCACTTGTTTGGTGCTGAATGCTGCATTTATGTGGAAAGTGTGAATATGTGAGCAGTGGTTACGAAGATGATAGCTTCTAGAAATTGTTACAGTCGGGATGTGCCCAGCAGCTAAATGGAAGATGTTCTCATGGTTCAGATGAAATTCGCTTTGCCTGTATGCTCGCTCGTAATTTTCAGAGCTGCACACACGCAGTCTTTTTTTACGTAGCGCTTTGCTTCCCAAATGAATTTTTAAAGAAAGTTAACGGCAAATATTCGGCCTGACCTTGTGATTTTACATGTCTTTGGCTCTCAGATCCGGCCATTTAGCGCAAAATGGTCTAAAGGCACTGAGGAACAGGTATTGGGTCTACTTCAGTAATGTAGGGAGGCATTATTGGTACATTAAACACAGCGTCCGGCACGCACCTTGGGCTTAGAAGTTCATGTGGACCGAAGGATGGTGCGGGAAACATAAGCGAAGTGCACATTATACCGGATGCGATCATGTCTCTCATCAATTGGCTACTCGTAACAAGCTGATAAAAAACTCACACACCTCTCTCACCCTCCCACGAAATTTAATTTGATTGGGCGTCACGATGTCCGTTATTTTTGGTTATTTTTGGACCATTTTTAGTTATCGGTGGCTGTACGTCGAGCAAACGGCTTGGCTTGGAAGCTGGGCTGGGCGTTCCGTGTTCTCACCCAAGGATGGGTTGAGAATCCTTGCATAAGGGCAAAATTTTACAAAGTGCGGTCATGGCGCATATGAAGCATCTTTGCAGCATGCTGACTCGAAAGCTATGTAAATGAATCTGTCTTACATCCTGAACACCGCTGGGTCGCATACGAGTGAAGAAGTTTACGCACAACGCTTTATATGCGGATGTGCCCACTACATGGAGTATTACTTTCAAAACTGACCGGACTTGAACTTGTGTCGTCTGACCCTATATAATATGGCAAACCCAACACGCTTACTCTATGTCTCGTAAGACATCAGAGCTGCATTTGTTTCGAACATTCAGCAATGCTCTTCCATATTCTATATTGTATATATATATATTCTATATTGTATATATATATATATGTATATATATAATCTATATTCTATATTCTATAACGCGTAACACCAACACAGTGGTGTACCTCACGTCGCCTCACGGATGTTCGAGCATCTTGCTTGCGAGGTGTTCATGTGGGCCAAAGCGGCTCGTCGTGGCGTGCGGCTCCGAATGAGGTCACCCGTGCCGGGCCGACGCCGGAGACGGCCGCCGCGGACGTAACGCTCAGCGCTCGCTGTTTGTGGTACGCCCAGAACCGTGTCGTTTGCGATGGTTTAGACCGCAGCACGGATTAATCTCACGATTAAGTGCCAGGAGTCGTGCTTCGTTCACGATGCCCGCGCGACCAACCGAGGCTGTCACGTGGGGGTGACGGTCTCGTGCGACCAGCTGATCCAGGTATGAGGCCAGGTTCATGTACCAATTCTTGCACGCATGGTAAATGGGGCGCCACATGACTTATATGCATCTCTAAAGCAATCAATACGTAAGTCCGATGGGAGATAAATCGTCAGGTGAACCTCACTTTCACAGATTTCCAAAGGTAATGTACCTTAAAAGGGAGTAGCTTTCCAGCCTTTTTATCACCATGCAGAAGACGTGGGAACTAGTCCAGATTCGGTAAGATTTCTATTCTAATGAGAATTCTCACCCTCATCCTTGTTGAGAGCCCTAATTGTGCATGCTCATTTCCTGCAAGGGCGTGTGTTTGGTTGATAATACCCAATTTATGACACAAAGATGGCTGATAAAAACAGAGCTCACATAGAGCACCTGTGCAGAAGCATTGACCTAGACTGTCGTGTTGTCAGCAACCAGCAAAGAGCAACAACGCGTATAAGCCGATTCCCGAAGCTCTTAACTCGTGCGTGACGGTATAGCTTAAAGAGGAGTTTTTGATGAGCTTGTTACAGGGTTCGCGCTAAATGCGAGTCGATGCATTTGATGCAAATTGTTTTTTTTTTTTTACAAATCGTAAGAACAATCAGATGGCCCTAAGGGCGATTAATGCATGCCCGGCTATGTGTCTTCGAATGGATCAATGCCAACCAAAAACACGACACATCGTGTGGGCCAGCCAAGTCCGTGTCGTTTTAGGTATTTACTTCGTTGTGCGAGTCGTTTTATGCGTTATGGTTGCCAAGGCGAGTCTAGAGGGGGTGACCACGGGGCCTTAGCCCCCCCCCCCCTGGGCCCCGAAGGGCCCCATAGGCTCCGAAGGGGCCCGTATTGACGACCAGATATAGTTTTTTATCGCAAAACGCAACAAAATTGGACATCTTTGGATTTCCAAGCCACCAAGAACAGGTGCAAGCGAAAGTGAACGGCCAACGAGAAGGGAGAAAGATTTACAATTATTGAAAAAGTTAGTAATTGGAAATGCTAAGCCTTATTATGCTGTCCAGGGACCCTATGCTGTTTTCGTGGGACCTATATGCCCGCTTGCAGGGTTAATCCGATCGTTAAGGAGCCTTCCACGTTGCCCTTGGCTTCTTTGTGTTTGCTCGGAGGGCCCTGCACTGTTGCTGTGCCTTTCCTGCTGGTGTGCCCAGGCGCTTTTGTCAATCAGGGGCTTTCCACGGATTATTTTTATTCGTCAGAATGGTTCTGTGAGCTATAGCCGGGGTCCCATATATATTGCCCCTGATCTCTTTGCATTTTCTCGTGGGACCCAATGCTGCTGCTGGGGCGCTATTTGCTCTTATGCCTGGGCACTTTTGATCGATCAGGTTTTCCTCTAAGGATTTTTCCCGCTCTCCCGAAAGGCTCTGTACATCTTTTTCCGGGGCCTCATATGCCAGGGTACACGTAGTTGCTCAAGGGCCCATCATATTAGTATCGGGTTCTAAACACTTGCTCGGTGAACCGTGTGCTGTTGCTAGAGCTTACTTATGATAAGGCACCGAGACACTTGATGCTTAGGCCCCCCCCCCCCCACTTTGATTTAGGGCTCTTTCCCTTTGACTTTATTTTGGGAGAACTCTCTACTCCTGTCAAGGCTCTTGCTGTTACCTGCCGGGGTGCTCTTGATCGCAGAGGGATATCAATTCATGGTCTTGGGTAATTCTCTTTTGCTCAGAGGGTCATGTGCTCTGGCCGGGGCCTTATATGTCAGCCTGCCGGAGTACACCGGTCGTTTAGGGGCACACCACGTGGGTCTCGGATTCTTTTTGCTTGCTCTGAGGACCCTATGCTTGTTGACAGGAGCTTGTTTGTTTGTCTCCTGCGGCACTCATGATCGCCCAGGTTTAGTCCCTATTGGCATCGGTGCCTTAGAGCAGCGTCGGGTATGCGCCGATGAATTTTTACGCGCAGTTGTCGAACGTAATTTGACGCGCCGCTGACGTTGTATGCGTCATTTCCCTTGGTTATTGAATAAGTGACTTATTATACTTGTGCATCACGTTCTTAGCATATTTTGAATGGTAACATATTGTGCACTCCTTTGTGACAAAGGAAAAATTCTGCATTAGTCATCAGCCATCAGATGATTATATCGTCCAGTCAGCTACCCGTAAATAAGCTAGAAATGAAGTTCGCTCTTGGTTTTGATGGTACTTAGCCAACTTGAACTTCTTTCGTCTGTTGTTTTCCAAAACAGGTAGCTTCAAAATCCCAGGGTTTAGCATAATTGATAGAAAATGAGTGAGCTCCATGTATGTGCATACGCAACACATCTAACTTAATGGGGCTGCGCACAGTACAATGGGTTTCCGTTTATTCCCACATATATGTATATATATATATATATATATATATATATATATATATATATATATATATATATATGTATATATATATATATATACATGTATGTATGCATATATACATATATTCACATTACACACGCACACACACACACACACACACACACACACACACACACACACACACACATATATATATATATATATATATATATATATATATATATATATATATGCCCATATATATATATATATATATATATATATATATATATAAATGCGTGCCCACCCACTCCCTCCACCTCCCTTTGATGAAATCCTGGATCCGCCCCTGATCGTTTCATTTTGCAAAATTTGTGATTTGGAGAGGATTCTCACAAAATTTCTTACTTTTTCAATCGCCTGAAGCCGTGCCATCATTTGAGGCCTTACCGATGCGTCCTCGGCTCCTACTCTAAAAGCCTATTTTTTTAGCATCCGACCGCACGCCATCCGGTGAACATTTCTAATGTTGTATTGGCAATGAGCAGTTAGCTCTGGATGCTGAGTATGGCGCTCCACAAGCACTGGACCATGCTGCTGTTCTCAGGACTTCATTGATGCGTCAGATTCATAATTGTGTTACCGCTTTTGAAAGGTCGCTTATAAGGACTGACCATGGAGTGAGCGTGGTCTGACCGTGGGCTGGCTGTGGGCTGACCGTGGGCTGGCTGTGGGCTGACCGCGGTCTTAGCGAGCGCTGCCCGCGGTCTTAGCGAGCGCTGACCGCGGTCTCAGCGAGCGCTGACCGCGGTCTGAGCGTGGGCTGCGCTATCAGCGCGTACTTGATTACTTCTTTCGTGCGAAGTATTAACTCCTCGAGCTTTATTGGTGCATACAGGACCTCAACTGGCAGACAAAATTATCTTCTGAGCATCCGGTATGACTCATTAGGTCATATTCATGATTTAATGATAGCGATTGGATCCTCATACAGCGTCGTAGGGCTAATCATCTTTAAAAAAAAAAACGTTCCGGACGGTCGCCCCGTTGGCCCCCGCCCCTGCCCCCGCTGTCTTATCCGACGCCAACAGCGGGTAGTCAGACCTGTAATGCTGAATATGTGGTGAGTCGGACAGGGACTCTGTTCCTGACAACAACACGTCGGTGTGGTCTGCATGGTGCGAAATGCGGAGCGACACCGGTGTGGAGGATGAGATCATTTGCGGCCATCTGCACCGGGAGTGCGTCGAGGTCCAAGTACCGGTTCCATCTAGCGTGGCGGGAGAGGGCATAAGCCACGGCCCCTGCACAGGGACGACCACCACCGAAGCCCCCGGATGAACGCATGGCGTTCCATCACAACCCGTGCCTCAGACGAGGACGGCAGTGAATGGGCCGCCTCGCGAGCATTGGCCAGTCCGAAGCGAAGCAGCCCGGTGCCCGGCGAAGCCCCATGAGAGGACCCGACCGGCACGACGTACCCGGGTCACTGAGAGGGCAGACCCGCCGCACGTCAGGGGCTTAGCGGGAGCCGGCACGCTGCGGGCTCTCCCAGCGTCGGATCGTACTGTATGGTCAGACGGATCAGCCGAGGGAGGAGGGGGCGTTTGGAGCAGGGGGGGGGGGGGGGCGTGAGGAGCGAAGGAGGAGGGGCCGTCAGTAAACTGCTTCACAGGGGCCGGTATGTGCGGTGTGCGGCGGAGGCGGGGACAGCATGCAGCAGCCTCCGCGCGGAGCTAATCGCAACAAGGCAGGCCTTGCACGTAGATGCGCGCCTGCCGAACACCGCGGCGAGCGGGATCGAGGAGATCCGCCTCTGCGCGGATCCTCGGCCCGGGCTACAACCGCTCCCCGGAGGCCCCGTAGAGCAGACATCTGTGCTGGGCCAGAGGTCTGGGCGCTGCTGCGGCACGCCGCAGTTAAGAGCAAATTATAATTAAAAGCAAATCAAATCTGTCAGCCTTCAGTGGGTCTCATGTGGGGATCGGCGGACATCAGGGGCCAGACGGGCTGGTAAACCGAACCACGCCAGCTATGACCAGAACGGATGCTGGGCGAAACAGACGCTGCTAAAGGATTGCCGGCTTTGTGGACGGATTGGACAATGGTTACCACCAAAAATTGCCGCGAGCGAGGCCGTAGGCCGGGCTGGTCCTGAGCTATGATACAAGTTTCTACCTGAGCGGCCCGACGCCGCCGTCACACTTTCTGGAAGCTGATATCTTTGCAACCACTGATTGCGGGTTCGTGTGGACGTATATAGCACAAGATGCCAAGTTTTTGAAATGTTCCGTTATGTAAACTGCCAGGCATTCGTATGCAGTCCGTCAGGTCAGACGATTGTTCCTGCAACATTATAAGATCACTGCGATTTCATTTCCCCATCGCATTGTGTTGAGATGGAAAAGGTGGAATATTCAAATCACAAACAAAAACGGAAGAAATGGAGCCGATTCGAGGCCTGAACGACGACGATAACGAGAAAACGGGCAATCACATAGCCAAAAATGTAAATTGATGTTCGCAAACCGTCGTCCATTTCCGTGCACGCCCATGCATCCACCTGTTCTGTGGCGCCTTTAACGATTGGTGTCGTGCACGGCAACCAGTCCAGATAACGTGAAACCAACTGTGGATCTCAGCAACCAGAACAGCTGAAGCCGTGAAACCAACTGCAGATCTTAGCAACCAGAACAGCTGAAGCCGTGAAACCAACTGCAGATCTTAGCAAACATAACAGCTGAAGACGTGAAACCAATTGCGGATCTCAGTAACCAGAGCAGCTGAAGACATGAAACCAACTGCAGATCTCAGTAACCAGAACAGCTGAACACCTGAAGCCAACTGCGGATCTCAACAACCATAACAGCTGAAGATGTGAAACTAACTGCAGCTCTCAGCAGCCAGAGCAGCTGAAGAAGTGGGACCAGCTGCGGATCTCAGCAACCAGAACAGCTGAGGCAGTGGAACCAGCTGCTGATCTCAGCAAACAGAGGAGCTGGAGTACTGGAACCAACTGCAGCTCTCAGCAACCAGAGGAGCTGGAATAGTGGAACCAGCTGCACGATGTAGGCGAATGTATCAGCTACACTTCGCTAACTGATCTGCACATAGCCCTGCCTGCTGTGCTCAATATCCATCTCACATATTTGCGCTTTTCAATACCTTGGTTGCAGTTGCAAAGACCGTAAATCACTGTAATTTCCGAGCCTGAGCTGCCTGATAGCCAGCCCCCTTTCGGGAACAGTGCTTGTGAACTGATGTGCGAGTACTGTAGTGATTGTGAGTTGATGCGCGAGTACTGCAGTGATTGTGAGTTGATGCGTGAGTGCTGCAGTGATTGTGAGTTGATGCGCGAGTACTGCAGTGATTGTGAATTGATGCGCTAATGCTGCACCAGCTGACCTCCGCCTGTTACACGTTCATGGGAAGTATGCTTGGCAACGCACTGATGGAAGCTTCTGGTATCAGTTGCCGAATGTGTTTGGCTTCACAAGCTTAGCTGTTAGCGTCATCTACACACAAACTGACAGCATTCACAGATGTTATGGCTCCGCTCGTCCCGCGCCAAGCAAGGCGTCTCACTGGTGCGCTGCTTGCATATGGAAGGACAGATATCGACCAATGCCACGAAGACTGGCAGGATGAATGACTGAAGCATCACTCGAAGATCTGAATACTGTTACTCTCAGAGCCACCGCCCCTGAAACTTGTATTCTAGGAAAGAGAGCCTTGACACCTTGAACTGTCAAGGACTGAAGTTTATAGTAAAAACACAGTTTACAGGAAAGAGCGCTAGACGCTGATCGGCGGAGCCGGGTAGCCTCTAGGGTCTTCAGTGGCTCGCCCATTCCTAAACTCACCGCAGCTCTTTCTGTAACAGTCACCTCCCGTTACAGTTTCGGCCATTTGTCCCAGTGTCTGTCATCTGCTAGCATCCGTCATTAATTGCAGACGCCTCAGATCTGTCAAAGTATGTCGCCTGCCAGAATGAGTCATTTGTTAGTGTGCATTTCCTGTAAGCGTCCGTCATCTGTCACAGTGGCCGAGACCTGTCTCCGTGTCCGTCATCTGTCACAGTGGCCGAGACCTGTCTCCGCGTCCGTCGTCTGTCACGGGGATGTACGCACCGTTTGCCGCAGTGTTCGGTGTCTGCTACGTGGTGGGGCGCTCCCTGGCCGTGTGCCGGGCGGCGGGGCGGGGCTGCCGGCCGACCGAGGCCTCTCCTGAGGCTCGCGTCGCCTCCCCGGACGAGCTGGACGCCCTGCTGGAGTCGCCGCCGCCGCCGCAGCCGAAGCCGGCGGCCGCAGCGGCGCCCCGCCTCCTCTCCACCACGTCACGGCCAATCCTGGCGGAGCACAGCCGACATGCTCCGCCCCCGCCGGCCGCCGGTCACCGCTAGGTGGCGCGAGCGACCAAGGCCTCGCGGCAGCCGCAGCGGGGCAGCAACTGCTGCAGTGAGGCGTCCCCGGGGAACTGCGACAATGCAGGAAGCGCGCGAAAGTGAGCTTAAACGTTATGTTATGTTTGCTTATGCTTTGCTCGACATCGAAGTGACGAACCGTAATACGATTCCGCTGTCGTGTACACATGCTCCATCTGAATACGTTGTTTTTGTTGCGGCGTAGATAGTGACCGTCATGTTAAAGACCACATGCTCCATTTGCTTAATGCGAGCTGTTAACTTTAAAACGCAAGTGACGGTACAGTTTTGTATTTCGTGTGTCTACAAAATAATTAACAAAGCACGATGACGCTGTTTACACTCACTGTAATCAACACCGTCATTACAACAGTCTCCTAGCGTAATATAGTTAATTTTAGAATTAACACGGTGTAACCACCGTCAAACACTGGATCACTGAGTGATCATCCAGGAAAAAACTAAACACCCTGTAAATACGTCAACGACGCGGCCCGACTACAGAACACTTTACAAAAATATCCACATGTATATACACGAACACGCCCGGACCCACACCCAGTCGCTCGCGCGCGCGCTCAACCCTCGGCCGAAGCGGCTCTCCAGATGGGACTCTACCACACTCTACCGGAACACGGACGGGTGGCCGACTGTTGACAGCACACCCCTGGAACTGATCTGAGATACAGGTACAACGTAACCCTACCGAACCCGTGGAACAGAACGAAATCGTTGTACGCGGAGCGTGAGGGCGCGCGTGCTGTTCCGTGTAACCTGAGCAAAGCGACTAGTGGAGTGCGGGCGGCCGCGGTCGCCTCCGCTGCCAGACGCCCGGCCGCGCGCGGGCGGCCGCCACCCTTCCGGAACACACAACACGACGGGTTGTACACTGAAGCGGCGCTGGTGGCGCGCAGGCCGGCTCGGGCGGCCGCCTCTCTCACACGCGCACGCGCAGGGACACGGGCACGCGGCCACGACAGTGATCACGGGCCCCGCACGCCGCACACCGTCCCCGGGAGACACCGGCCAGTGAACAACGGAGGGCCGGAGCGGCCGAGGAGGACTCGCTGGTGTATCAGGGCGGGATCGGGGCCCTCGGGGGCCCTGTGGTCCCTCTGAACTCGCTCCAGCACATGCACACGGAAACATATCGGAACTATCTACAGGGCGTATAGCATAATCCAACTAGGTTCGCGCGTGCGCTTCGTATTGAGCTTATCCGTCGCCAGCGGTCGACGTCACGTGATAAGTTAATACAAAATAGGAACTGGTGTGCCCTCGGAGTGGGCCGTCCGCGCTGATGCCGACCCGGCCCGGCCCTGGAAGACAGGCGGCGGCGGCCCCACTGCTGCCTCTGCCTCCCTCTGTCCTTTATAGACCCCGCTCAGAGCGGTGAGTCTGTGCGTCTATCACCGGTGGGGCGGAGGGCGAGCCGCGGCGCCAACGACGTCGCCGGCGGCTCCCTCGACGGCTCCCTGCGGCAGTTTCCTGCAGGGGCCCCGCTCGGCGATCCCCTCGGACGGCTCTCCTCAGGGCCGCCTTCGGATGGCTCTCGATGGCCCCTTCGAAGGCTGCTCCGACGGCCGTGCCCTCCTGTCGCCCACGGCGGCCGCCTCCGCGCCGGCCGGCCGGGCGTGTCCGTCTAGGTCTGCCAGTGGCCGGGCGGTATGGCAGGTCGCTCGGACGCGGCCGCGCCCTCCGGCCCGCCCCGAGGCCCACCGCCGCCGTAGTCGTGCCGCGGCAGGCCGGCCGGCGGCCGCGGCAGCGGCCCGCCGTAGCCGTGGCTGTAGCCGCGGCCGGCGCCGGCCGGCGGGCGCAGCAGGTCCGCGTCGTACCCGAGCGACAGGAAGTGGCGGCGCGCGGCGTCGGCGCCGTAGTCGCGCGGCAGTACGGCCCGGGCGTGCTCCGGCTCAGGCGCGCCGTACCCCGGCACGTGTCCGGCGGCGGGCGGCGGGCGCGGCGTGCCGCACACGGCTGGGTCGTAGCTGCGCTCCGGCCTCGCTCCGAATGAGTTCAAGTTGAAGCCGGACACCTCGGAATCGTCGAAGCTGTGTTCGGTGGGCAGCGGGGGGGAATCCTTGCTGAACGCGGGAGGCTGGAGCGTGCCGGCGGCCAGGCCGTGGATTCGGGGCGGGGAGCGTTCCGCCCCCTGCGCGGGCGAGTCCAAGCTGTAGCGCGCCGCCGCTGCGGCGTCGAGAGCATGGTCTAGCGCCGACGCGGACGAGTCCAGATCGCGGCCGGGGGGCGGCGGCGTCGGCTCGAGGCTGGGCTGGTCCGGAGGCGAGGCGGCCTCGGACCGGCCGGCCCGACTCGGGCCCGGCTCAGCCCAGCCCAGCACGGGTCAGTCCTTGTAGGGCTGGCTGCCGGGAGACGGCGCGGTGGCGTACTGGGGCGAGGTGACCAGCGGCAGCGGCGACGATAGCGGCGGCGAGATGGGCGACGGCAGCGAGTTGGGCGACGGCACCGAGCCGGCGGAGTTGGCGCTGGAGTAGGCCGGGAACGCCGGCTGCGGCGAGCCCATCGACGCCGTCGGCGTGCTGATGCGCTTCTGTTTCTGTCTACTGTAACAAAGGCGACGTTACTCGTACACGGCGGTCGGCGGCGGCTGCCTTGCCCGGCAGGTCACAGACCACACCGCAGCACTGCGTCGGGGGCGCAGCGAATGGCCCATAGTAGGCCAAGGGTCTGATTAGGGCCAAGGAACAAGACTTGGACCCGCAAAATATAAAATGTCATCCGCTGAAAGCCGTTCGGAGCACAACACGCACTGACTGCTTGCATAAGCGCACAATGTCGGACAAAGTCTACGTCAGCATAAGGCGAATGGCGACATCGGACGACTGGTGGCGTCCTTTCAGACACAGGGCGCTGTGTGGCGCTGGTGGGCTTACCGGTTGCAGAACCAGACGCGCACCACCTCCTTTTCCATGCAGAGCGAGCGGCCCAGCATGGAGATCTCCTCCGAAGTGGGCTTTGGGTTGTGCAGGAAGGCGCGCTCCAGAGCCACGCGTACGCCCGTCTCGATCGAGGTGCGCTTCTTGCGGCGGCGGCCCATCGAGTCGGCCGTGCTGTGCGGCGGTGTCACGTGCGACGGACTGGCGGCGGCAGGGGTCATAGGTCTCAGACAGGGGCACAGGTAGCAGGGAGCAACTGACCGACAGTGGGCCGGGGTCACAGGTCATAGGCACGTCACCAGGAGCAAAGGATTGCCGGCAGATCGGTGTCACGGGTTACGGAGTGACTGCTTGTTGACGCATCAAGGTTAGATGTCGCTGGAAGAACCACAAATTACGGGGCTGGTCGAAGGTGAAATAGAAGTGGAATTTGTTCTATTACTTGAAGTGATCAGTAACTGATGATGATGAGTAAGTGATCAGTAACAGTAATAGACACACACGCGTGACGCGCGCGAGAGCTTTCATTGACAACTGTTTTCAGTGCACGGTGAGTGTCAGGAACGCCTCAGAATAATTTTCCATTCGGAACATTCCCTTTTGTATTTATCCCTAGTGTTTGTCGACTGAATATAGAAAATCCAACAGGTCATAAGGGCGGCGGGGACCGAACTCATTTTCGGGTGCTGCGTCAGTCTCCAAGTATATCACGGGCACTGATGACTGAGTCGCGTGCAGATCTGTTCAAAGCACACGCTGCATTCTGCAACGCAGCCCGTGGCTGGGTTGGCTGAACTGGTGCGCACCTGGACATCGAACTATCGGCGTCTGCCAGCCATTTTTGCAGGAGCGGTTTCAACTTGCACATGTTTTTGAAGCTGAGGTTGAGTGCTTCGAAGCGAGAGATGGTGGTCTGGGAGAAGTCATTGCCGTACATTTTCCCCATAGCCAGGCCAACATCGCCCTGCGTAAATCCTGAAATAAAAAAGGATCTTTATTCGACATCCCTGCAATTCTCTAAACATCAGTGTATCCTGCACGTTTAGAATAATGACGATGCTAGTCACAGTGACGAAAGATTCCTAGTTACGGTGAGTAATTAAGATCGATAGAAAGCAATAACCTATCTGTCAGCGCATTCCAGCTTCCTGCCAAAGCCGTCAAGTCATAATGAAACATCACCAACAACACGAGTCATCAGTATCATCACCGAAATTGACCGCGTCTCCGTCAGCTTTTGGCCTCCAAAGTCTGAAGCCTCGAAGACAGCAACGACTAGGTTTGCTTTCCTCATCTTCTCCGCTGCCCTCTGTTTGTGCGGTTCTCCCCTCCTTGCGCTCCAAGCTGCGGCGCTCGCCACCCACCGAGTTTGATGCGACGCTGCTTGAACGTCTTGGCGAACTGTTCGAGCTCCTCGAGGTCGGTGGCCTCCTCTGGCGGCGGCTCCGTGTAGCGCCGCGCGATGGTCTGCGGCGGCGGCGGCGGCGGGCCGTGCGGGCTGACCGCGCCCGGCAGCGGCAGCAGGCGTGCGCCCGGCGCCGCCGCCGGCAACGCGTGCCGCAGCGCGCCCGGCGGCGGAGGGCTGGCCGCCGGCGGCGCCAGCTGCCGCTGCTTCTGCAGCTGCTGCAGCTGCTGCGCCGCCTGCGCCAGCTGCTGCACCTGCGCCACCTGGGCGTGGCTGACGGTGGGCGACCCCTGCAGGCCGGGCGGCAGCAGGCCAGACGGCAGCAGACCCTGATGGACAGGTCCAATGTAAAACTAAATAAACCGCAGCGACCAACGGGAACATTAAGACAACCATATCAGCAATGGAATGATATCGATTCCATTATGTTCTCCAGGGCATGTATTGTTCTAAGAAAAAAACTTGTGCAATGTGCTCTTTGCAGAACAGGCTCCGGCAAAGTCTGTATTTTTCAACGAACATTGGCGCACACTCGCGGGCACAGAGTGGGGGGTTTAATCACGGCCCAATGGCGTAAGCAATTGTCGGGTGTTACGCCAGTACTCGTACCAGTTTACGTCATGCTTCTTAGTTAATGACGTAAACTGTCGCTGCTTTTGTTCCCCTTCTCTAAAATGCCCTCGACAACACCCCAATCCCACAGACAGCACCGGAGAAGGCTAGGTCTAGATTGTCCGCGTTGCTTAATGACTTTCCAAGTGTGTACTTTCATTGTTACTTCTTACGTTCGATCGCAAGAAATGAGTTATCCATCATGATCTGCAGTAAGCTGTGAAGCCCCGCTCCCCTGTGCGCCTGTGTTGCTGTAATGTCCGACCCTCCCCGAACACAACAAACACCATTCTAGCTTCCCATTTTTGATCTCGCGAACGCCAACAACGATCCACGGCCCCTCTATCCCATTTGCCGTCGGCCATCCCCAGGGGGCATTGTCTGCGAGATGTAATCTTTTGATAGCCGTAGATAAGCTTTGCACATTTGCATGAGCATAAATCCTCTTCGGTAGAGGGTGCAAAGCATCTTTACATGTAATCCGCTTGGCTTTGAGCGGCATTTCCTGTTTTACCAGTCGGGCAGCTCTCAAAAGCACGTCTTTTTTCATCAGGCGTCGCGCCGGGCTTGTTTTTCGCGGCCAAAATGCAAACTGCCGCTCTGGCGCGGCCGGCCTCCCCTCCGCTGCATCACGCGGTCGTCCACCGGCTGCATTATGGCCTACGAAATAGGTCCGGCCGAGGGTGCCTTTATGGTCGCCGGCGGCCCTTTGTTGGTCGAGGCGGCCATTCAGCAGCGTGAATACATTTCGGCCGGACGCATCTCCCCAAAGGTCAATATTTCAAGACGGCACGCTGAATTAGCATGCGTTTCAGCCGGCCGCCGCTCGTAACTCATTGAATCTCGCGCCCCCGCGCCCTGCCTCATTATTCCCCCCCGGCGCGGACGGCTGAGCGGCGCGGGGGCGCAGAGGTGCGGGGTGAGCTCCTCGGCGCCGGCCGCCCTGTCCAAGCAGACGCGCGCATTCAAGCAGGAGCGCCGCTGAATTCGCAGTCCGCCGTCCATCCGAATTTATCGCCGCGGAGGCCATTTTGTCGTGCAACTGTCTTCAATATGGGAGTATTGATGCGCCGCGGCGCAGCGCCGGCGGCATGTGTTTGGCGGGCGCGCGCGCGCGCTCGGCCGGCCGGCCAGATGAATTGGTGCCGCGCCGCGCTGAAAGGCGGTGACGCCGACTGAATTTACGCCGCCTTAAATTTCGTTAGCCTGTCGGGTGGCTGGAGTGTGCTGGTTGGAAATCTGCGACAGGTACGACAGTAATGGAGCGAGCGGACCGGGCCGGGCAGGCCGGGCCGTCTCCGGACAGGTGCCAACACCTGGGGCGGCGGCCGCACCGTCTCCGTGCTGCACCGTAGCGGCGCAGGAGCTCAGCAGCGGCCGCCGGCTTCACGCGCGGTGCAACGCGTGCTGGGGAACCCGGGACCCGCTGAATGACGCAGCTGTCCACTGCGTCACAAAATGCAGCGATTGTTTGAGTGCTCAACCCAACATTGTTTAATTCTCGCGCGCAGAAATGAGCACAGAAATAGCAACAAAGCCTGCAAACAAAATTAGGGTGCTGGAGGCACAAAACACAGTCAAAATCTAGCTTTCTTTGATCACCTATAGACAGCGGTGGCTTCACGAAAATTTTTCTGTACCTACCTCACAAGCCACCTGCACACAGCAAGTGGTTGACAGTACACTGTCGGTGTGGGGTCGTGCGTGCATGACACTGAACTCAACGGCGAAATGCAGCGCTGACATTAGGGGCGGCCTGCCCGGGGCACCCTCGGCGTTGCTCCGTGACGCTGTGCGGACGGGCCGACACCGCGGCCTGCGGCCGGGCACACACCTGGTTCTGCAGGAACAGCTGCTGCGCCGACAGGTGACTGTTGCCTCCGGCCGGGCTCATCATCATGAACTGCTGCAGCTGCTGCTGCAGCGTCTGCTGCTGGTGCTGCAGCTGCTGTTGTAGCGCCGACAGCAGAGCCTGCTGACAGGGTGGGCGTCAGGGCCCACCACGAGATACACGGCAGTGGCCGCCATGAGTCACTGGCCCTGGTCTCTAGCTACCACCCAAACGTCCCGGGAGGGCCGCAAAGAGACCTCTGGGGAGAATATCATAGCGACCACTGCACTGACTTATGCCTTCGGAACATCGTGAGCTTTCTTAAAGGCATACTGCGACTGTGTAAAACAGTTGCTTTTCTGGAAAATCACGATTGGCCACGTTTGCTTAAAGTTGTTTCAGGTTGATTATTTCTTATAACAACGGAACTGCCATGCCCACTTGATTATCGCCTATTGTCAACGCCTGTTGTGTATATCACTTGATGTTATGCAGGTACTTGCACATGTCAAGGAAGCCTGTGCTGCCAGCAATAATTTGTATTGCCCCGTACAGCTGCATCTGGTAGGTACCACCCAATTTCACGAAGCGTTTTAATATGTCCTAAAACGTGGATCATGAAGCACCTTCGTGACGTGGACCAGCGCTCGTCCTCGTTATTCCTCCAGCCGTCGGCACCTGTTGCCTGAACTATTTGGAGTCCAGTGCCGGCTGGCATGAGCGGAGCGCGCTGGCAAGCTGGCGCACAAGAGCAATCCGATACAAAGATGCTGGAGGTCGCGACGGGAAAGCTCAGCATGGATGAGCATACGCTGCGCGCTGCAGCTGCATACGCCGCCAACGACTGTCCATCGACAGAGCCGTCACGATTAAAGCACTAGCTGGCGATGGCTGTACTGCAGCTGCACACGCCGCCAACGACTGTCCGTCGACAGAGCCGTCACGGTTAAAGCACTAGCTGGCGATGGCTGTACTGCAGCTGCACACGTCGCCAACGACTGTCCATCGACAGAACCGTCACAGTTCAAGCACTAACTGGCGATGGCTGGAGGGATAAGTGGCCGAGCATTCAAGTAAATATCAACACAGTTGGTAGGGACGGTGTCCAACACTGTACCACATCCGAACACTTTCATAGCGTTAGACCAGCATTTACCACAGTTATCAAATCATGGCGTGTGAATTTCTGGTGAAGGGATCATTAAGGGATCTATGGCGTTAGAATTCTGAAATCGATTGTCGTGCACGGCAGCAAAAAAGCAAGAGCAAAACTCCGGGCCTAGTCAGCAACAGTGAGAATGCTCTCCGAGTGGAGAGAGAGAGCACGCCCACCGACGTGGAAAGAACTCAGGCATCGGTCAAAAGAATGTCCCCAAGTTGGACATTGATCTGTGCTGTAGTTCCCAACGCGGCCCTTTGACTGAGGCTGAGTTCCACGACGCCAAATGCCTTATATAAGGTGCCTAACAAGCAGTCAAATGCGGTCTGAATACACCTGTATATTCCTTACGTCGAGCGGTTTCGTTATGTCTCTCAATCCAGTGCGCTGGCTCTTGCGCGTCAGACCCTTAGGCGGCATAGGATGAAATCCAAGGCATCTAACAAGCTTTCGTCTAGTGCTGTGACAGAGTGAATACGCCGTATCAATGCGCTCCGGTCATTTAACAAGCGAGATGGCCGGCCGGTATATCAACAAGGCGTCGAAAAGCGAAGTAAGGCGTTCAGCGCGCCGACGAATCCGCCGCTATCACCACGCACCTGAATGGACTCGCTGTTGCCGAAGCCCGCCAGGGGATTGCCGTAGGCCGTCGACATGGGCGGCATCTGGCTGGCTGCAGCCGCCGCCGCCGCCAGCTGGTTGTGCAGCATCATCTGCTGCTGGCCCGCAGGAGGTCGATGTCAGCTCACATGGGAGGGCCAATGTCATCGTCTGCACCACGTCCGGCGCGCTGGCGCACAATGCAGTCACAGTGTCCGAGGGTTGTTAGCTTGTGGCCGTCGTCTGCGTCACAACAGCTGGTACCGCAGCAGGCTGAACGGAGGAGTTTACAATACTCTGCATCGGCTCACGAATACCGGGCCGGAGTCACCTCCACTTGGTTATGCATTCAAAGACGCCATTACAGGTTGGTTCTGTATACCCACCCCGGTGAGTTAAGGACTCCACCTCCGATTATATGAATGTCACCCTCGATTAGCGCAGACTCAATCTCTGATGAATTCAGAAAACCACCTCCGATGGACCCGAGCCTCATTTCATACGATTTAGAAGCCCATATCCGATGGATCCAGGGCTTATCTTTGATCGAATCAGAAAACGATCTCCGATGAACTGCAGATGACTCTATCTCATAACTCCATTTCTGAATTATTCCAAATGTCATCTCCGACGAGCCCAGGTCCATGCATGTCATGGATTCAGGATCCCGTCTCCAGCCAAACCACTCACCTCGAATGGATCTAGACATCCACATCCCATGAAGTGATCACCCATCTCCTGCCCGCCCGGGCCCCGACTCCAAGCGCATACAGACCAACATCTTCGATGGATCCGTCATCCCGGACCTCACGGACATAGGCCCCCACTTGCGATGGATCCAGGCCCGCGTCGGAACGAGGTCAGTTTTTGCTGACAGGCGCGCGCTCTTTGTCGGCCATTTATAGATTACAAACGGAGCCCTGGGCCCGAGCGTCGCCCGGCGAAATGTCCTCATATCATGCAGGGTCGGAACGACTCCTATCAAAGGTCAGTTTCTCAGCAATGTATTTTTACTCTCTTTATCCTGCAGCTCAGTCTTCTTCCTTTAGTCTCCCTCGCTCTGCCTCCGCCTACGTCCATCTCCTCTCCGTCTACGGCGCACCCTTCGTCCTCGCGACCGGCTGCCTCTCACACCTCCACTCCTGCCGCCGGGCCGGTGCCAGCACACCTCGGCCGCCCTCCCCTCCGGGCAGCTCCAGCGTCTCCCCTCTCCGCTCCCCTCGGCCGGCGCCCCTGCTCCCCTCTGGCGGTGGACATCGGCCCGGCGCTGGCCGGCCGGCCGGTCGGCGGCGCTGTCTGAGCGGGCCGCTCGCCCCCGCGGCCAGTCCTGGCGACCCCGGCCGCCGCCCGCCCGCCCCCGCGGCGCCCGCCCCCGCGGCCAGTCCTGGCGACCCCGGCCGGCGGAGTCCTTCGGCCCGTCGGACCCGGCGCCACCATCGATCTCGACTAATCAGCCTCGATCCCACATCCCTAATCAAAGGGTAGCGCATCATTACAAATCAATAGTAATGTTTCAACGATGAGTTCATGACGGGCATGTGGTCGGAACAGACGAATACATGCGGCTCAGCGCCCAGCGCCGACCTTGGGGGGGGGCTTGTTACCACCCTGACGGGAGGTGCCGAGTGCTGGTCGGAGAGCGAGGCTTTCAGGAGACGGCTCTGGCGCGCGCCTGAATCGGGTTAGCGCCGGCATGCGCGCCTCCCACAGGCTGATGGCCCGCAGTAAGTCACCGGCCTGTTGCCGCTCTTACGCAACACATGACTGGGAGCGGGCCAGCGGTGACGTCATCCGTTCCCGGGGATGACGTCATCCGTCAACTTTGCTGCTCAGAATGTGTCGATCGTGATGACGCAGACAACCAGAAGCGACCTCCACGCTATGGCCACAAAATGGCGTGGAATGCCGACATGTATTCAGCATGCAAGGAGACCAACCCGTGGCGTGCTTAGCCGCCCAGTATGCGAGATGTTTTGTCTAACTCAGATTTATCTGCAGGGTGCTCATGGTGAAAATCTGCCCCGCGCAAATCTTCCCAGTTCAAGTGTGCCACCTTGTGCACTTTTCGGGAACGGGCCCCCAACTGATTTCAATTTTAAAATTACGCCTGAGGCGTCGTATAAAAAATACACCTTGAGAAGTTTAACATTGTCCCTGGGATCCTCTCACCCAATCATTCTTTTGTGTGGAAAATATCAGCCGTAGCCGAATCCGCTCGGCGGCGCATCGGGCTCAAACTCCTCTGTCCAGTCTGCAAGGCGACTCCCTCACGTCAGGCTCATCTGTCCAGTCTGCGCGGCAACTCTCGCATGTCCATCTGTCTGTCTGTCTCTCGTGTCTGCCTCTGTCTCGTATGTCGCGCACGTCATGCTCTTGTCGGGCTGGCCGGGGCGCCTCACCTGCGTCAGACTCATCTGTCCAGCCTGGATGGCGGCGAGAGCGGCCTGCACGCCGGCGGCCGAGGGCGGCGGCGGCGGCGGCAGCGGCGGCGCGCCCGGCCCCGGCAGCGGCGCCGACCGCGGCGGCGGCGTGGCGCCGTCCCGCTGCGGCGCCAGGTTCAGCACGCCGTCGCCCCGCTCCGAGTCCAGCGAGTCGTCCAGCGAGAGGTCGCCGGCCGGCAGGCCGCTGCCGGCGCCCGGCGCCGCGCCGCCTTCCGACGAGTCGCTCTTGCCGTCCTCCAGGTCGCCGTTGATACCCGAGTCTGCGGGCGGCCGAGAGGAGGACGGTCAACACGCGCGGCGGGCAGGGTCCGCGTCGTCGGCGGCGCAGCTCGCAGGGCGTCACGACAGGGGGCAGTGGCTGACACAACTCACAACTTGGAAGCGGGCTGCTAGCCAGCGAACTATTGAATTAGATTGCTGAAAACTGAAGAACACGGTGCACGTTTGGTCGAGAGTGGAGGTCGGCGCACTGTCATCTCCATGATTGCTATTTCCATGAAATGCTCAGTTGGTTAGAGCGCCTGCCTTCCAATTCCCCGAACCGTGGCGGGGTGAGTTCGAATCGCTTTAGGCGCTCGCTATTTGTCCTCGACAGGTATGGGCTGCTGCTGGTGGCAGCGGTCGCGATAAATGTCAGATGACGTTAGAGGGCAGGACGGACCATGCCGAGCATTGCGGCACGTTAAACTCCCGCCTCCAGATTTTGCCGTTGACATGGAATTGCGCGATCAGATGGTGGGGAACAGAGCTCTCACAACACGCACTGCTTAGCGTGAACTCCGATCTCAGACATTCGTCTATGCAAAAGGTTCGCATTAAATCTTTAAAAAATATGGTGCGATAGTCTAAATTAGCTGTACGTGATTTGGTCATGCACGTGCATGTACACAAAATATCTTCATTCATACAAGCAATTACCACGAACCTTTGATGCTGTTTGTATTGTGGGATTGTGATTGTGTTATTTATCATATGCGATTTAAGCGACAAAAAGGGTGTAGGATATAGGCAGGCATAACTGAGATTAGGAGGCACACATATAGAGAAACATCAGACAGAGGGATGCAAGGCGGTCTTGCACAGAATATCACAATAACAGGGTGAGTGCGTCGCGAAAAGAAGAAGTCGGGCGGAATGGCGAAAGGTGACGAAGCTTTAAGTGCCATCGGCTAGATTCGCAAAGTGAACAGGACTATGGCAAAAGCCAGAAATCTTCGCTGCAATAGGCTTTTCTGAAATCGTTCTCTCTGGCCTATGGTACTGCTCAGGATCTCAACCCACTCTGGTTCCCTGTATATCTCTCTTGGACGTAATGCAGAGAGTGTAGAGTAGTTCAGAGAACTTACTCTTCTATTGCACACAACGGAATGCGTGTCATCACGGACTCCTTGGTCCATTAGTGTCTTCAGCCACGTGCCTGGTTTTAGGTAACTTGACCTTTTGCCAGAAAGACTTCCCATCAACTGGAACTTCTATTTACATAATCATTATCCAGCTGGGGAGGGTGCTGCAGGCACCGGCCGCCTCTGGGCAGGGTGCTGGGGGTACCGGCTGCAGCCGCCTCTGGGCAGGGTGCTGCGGGTACCGGCCGCCTCTGGGCAGGGTGCTGGAGGTACCGGATGCGGCTACCTCTGGGCAGGGTGCTGCGGGTACCGGCCGCCCCCGGGCAGGGTGCTGGAGGCACCGGCCGCCTCTGGGCAGGGTGCTGGAGGTACCGGCTGCGGCCACCTCTGGGCAGGGTGCTGCGGGTACCGGCCGCCTCCGGGCAGGGTGCTGGAGGCACCGGCTGCGGCCGCCTCCGGGTCGCACCGCTCCAGGCCGTCACCGGCTCCGTCCACCCCCGGTGACCGGCGGGCGGCGCGGCTTGGCCGCGGGACCGGCTCCGGTGCCCCTGCAGCACTGCAGCCGGAGGAGGCGGCGCCGTTCACCCGTCCACCCCCGGTAACCGGCGGGCGGCGCGGCTCGGCCGCGGGACCGTCTCCGGTGCCCCTGCAGCGCTGCAGCCGGAGGAGGCGCCGCCGCTCACCCGTCCACCCCCGGTAACCGTCCGACGATCGATATGCCGGCCGAGCGCCGGCCCTTGCATACTGTCCGCGGACGGACGGCCGGCCGGCCGGCGCCGCTCGTTTTTGCTCGCCCGCCGCCACGGCTCGGTCAACGCACTTCAAAGGAACCCGGGACGGGCCGGCAGCCGGCAGAGATTGCGTTGCAAGCGTGGACGCACCGCGTCGGCCGCCGACACAAGGGCCGGCCGTCAGCCATCATCGCCAGCAGTTCAAAGAAGCCTGCGCCCGGTGGAAGCGGAGAAGATCCCGTGCGGTGCGTCCGCGCTGGTGCAAAATGAGCGGCGCGTGACGAGTAAGCCGTGCGGAAATCTGTGCAGTGCTCACCGAGCGTATTATGGCAAACAGCTTCTGTGCGTGCGCGACGTCCGCGCGACCCCTCGACTATATATCGGTGTTGTACGAGTACGGGGTAGTAACGGGGTACTGAAAATGGGATGATACGCGACAGTGCCTCTTTCGTTTTCTCAGCGAATTGGGATGTGACTTTTCGCAGTTAGCTTGTAGCGAGTACAGAGGGTGGAGGCATGCTTAATTCCTGTCACAAGCAATCATTTGGTGCTCCTCAAGGCCCAGAGAATCTTGCTCACTTTAAGAAGACTTTCAGATGCATTTGAAGATTTCCTCTCCAGTCAAATTCTCCTATGTAGCTCAGCAGACTGCAAGTTCTGAAGGAGCAGGAACTAAGGCTTCCTTAATGAGACGGAGTCCCTCTTGATGTGATCCCATCGAAAAACTGGATTTCGGTTTCATTGGCGATGACAAACATAAAATTGCGTTTGTTGCAAAAGCGTACACAGAAAATGTGCTCCAGCTTCCTTTCCATTTGGGGGATGGACTCTTACCCACAAAAGTCGACAGGCAAGTGGGAGAAGTCCGAGAAGAAAACCATTTTTATGCATTTCAGGGTGGGCTCAGCACATTTCCCTGTTTAACCCACAACTTGTTCTGCAAAACTCCGTTCCTGATATGATCGGCGTATATCACGCGAATGCAGCATTGAGCGCTTACATTAACTGCCTGTGACACAAAGTCATGCTGGCTGAAGGTATTGTCGGCTGTTGCTGCACAAACTTGTGTTTGTGCCCAGTCAACTCCCGGTCAAGCAGCCTAACTTTATGACGTCATTGCAGTTTGTTTTTAAAGCGTATCAGCCGATTTCATAGCTGACCTCGCGCATGCAACCGTTTCCATTAAATCACACCGCAGAGCCACGCGTTCGATGTGAGGTGAAAACGCGGCCGCATACTCAACGTATGCCTACGCAGCAGCCGTCCGTGTGCTTATATCTGTTTTCATCACCTCCTCCAGGCCGGCACTAGACTCTGGGGGATACGGCGGAGCGTCCGGCACTGACGATCACTGGCCTCTGTCTCGTGATCGGTCCCCCAAGCTGCTGTCAGCCCGTGACCTGGACAGGGCTGGTCCGCCGCCGGTCATCGCTGCCGACAGACCACAGTCGTCGCGTCGGCACCCACCGCTCCCCACACGCCGGCCGCCTCGCGCGGCTGCTGCACGCTCACTCAATTTGCCGGCGTAATTGAATCTTTGACTGTGGACATGTTATCTGCTGGCCAGACCGGAGTTTATTCAACAATCTCGGCCGCCTCACGCGCCGCTAGCTCTGTTGTGCTGCTCAATATATGCATAAAGCGGCGGCTGGGGAGCGGCGCCGGCCGCCCCGTCGGCGCCCCCAGTCTCGCGCCGCGCTAACGACCCCGCTCCAGACGGCGGGGGCGCCGGCGGCGACGCGTCGACGGCGTCGCAACAGATGCCCGCCGGCGGCCGACGTCCGTGCGCCGGTGTCCGCGTGCCGCCGGCGCACGGCCCGGGTGTGACCTCGGCGCCCGGCGTGCGACGAGCGATGTAAAGTTGATGAGGCGCCGGCCGACGCCCGGAGGCCGCCGGCTCCGAGGCGGCCCGGCCGGCCGCCGGCGGCCATCGCTCATTCAATTTGAATGGAAGTCCGGCCGACACCCGACGCCTGGCGAGGTGGCGGCGCAGCAGCCCGGCGACACTGTGGTCCGGTCCGGTCCAACGGTCCGGCGCGACAGTCTGCTCCGGTCCGGTCCAACGGTTCCGGCGCGGCAGTCTAACGAAGGTCCGGGCCGGTCCAGCGGTCCTCCAGCGTCGGCCGGGTCGGCGGCGGCGGACGGCCGGCGCCGCATCTACATTGATTCCGTATTCAGCATATGAATCGGGGCGGCTGATAGAGTCAACAGGGGACAATCAGCGCCGAGATTGTTACCGACGGGGGATATGTAAACGGCGGCGGCGCGCGGGCCGGAGTCCAGCGGTGCGTGCCGGCACCAGATAGTGGCCGGAATTTCAGATCGGCGGCGGCGGGGAGCCGGCGCACGGCCGCCGATTGCGCCGCACCCTCGCCGCCCGCGACTGACGGATCGCCGCCGACCGGCCGCCGGTCGCCGCGACGCCCCGCCATTGTCCGGCAGACTTTGATTTTACTCAATCAACGGCTATCTGCAATCTAATTTACCTGTCCATTCAATTTCACACCGAGTCAAAGTGCTCCCTCATTTGCTGCTGATGGAGGCTGTAATGAAATCTCCCCAGCCGAGGACGGGTGACAAAAAGATGGGCGCGCGCTGGCCGCAGCCATCGACGCGACGACCCAAATGCCGGCCGCCGGCGCCGGCTCGAATATACAAAGAGCCGGAGCTGACGGACGCAAACAAAGAGCTTGCAAGCTCCCGCGGCAAAAACCGCATCGATCGGGCGTCCATTGAGGCCACCGACCGCGTCCGGTATCTACCCGCTGCCGATGCTTTACATCTCAAATTATTTTCCGGCGCGCACGGACGGTGCTCGGACGATAGCGGCTGACGCGGGCGAAATAGCCACACGCCTGCCGCCCAGTTGAAAGCGGCCGGCGCCGGTCAAATAGCCACGCGGCTGAGGGTAACAGATAAGCCGGCACTGGCCATGCTTCATACAGCCGACACTTTTATGGTTATCCAATGAGCCAATGCGGTGCGCCTGCGGCTATTTGATTGAAAAATGATTGAGATTGAAACAACATGGATGAGAGGCGGGCCTCGCGCGGATGGGACGAGCTTACGTTGATGATGTGACCCATCATGAAAGTATAATGTGGCGGAGGTGGCGGCGGCGGCGCCTGCTCCTCGAGCGCCAGCGAGCGGTAGAGCTTCGCTCGTCCACCTGCCGGCATCTGCAGACATACATTGCCCGGCGGTAGCGGTTCTGACACGTGTGATGCCACAGCACGCTGCACATCGGATGCTTTTGAGTCACCCGGCAAGGGCGGTGGTCGTAAACCTATGCATTGGGAGTACTATGTGTGTTGTACCTTGTCCCGGAGGCGGTCCGTTATTCCCGCGCTGTTTGACACCTTTTACAAACACGTCGCCATAATTGAGTTCCCACATTCCCCACCCTGGCGCAGCGTATCCGGTCGTTTTGCTATTTCACTAACCCAATCTCGACGGCTGACAACCCCTTCCGCAACGGATAAATCTCCGCAATTTTAGGGCTAATCTAATCGCTGAAAAATTCAGATTCTTGACAAAACACCCTTGTCGGCGTTGTAGTCACCCCGCGCCCGAGTGTTTTCCTTTTGATCGAGTGCGGCGATTTGCGATGCGCGCTGCGCCGTTTGAAGGGGGAGCGGGCCGGCCGGCGGCGAAAGGGGAGCGGCAGACGCGTGGCGCGGCGCCCGCGCCAATCGGACGCGCGCGCCTCGACGCGGGCCATCATCAGGTGGACAGATAGGGATGGAGATATGATCGAAACTGCCCAAGGATGAAAACAGATAAACCGCAACAAGTCAGCTGTCGGATTGATGGACGGAGGGGAGCGAAAGGGGTGGCGCGGACCGGGCCGCATCTGAGACGGGAGACCGCCGTCCTGTGTCCGTGCGTGATGATGGGGCTGCATCGTCAGACTCCGAGAATGGGGTGCAAACCGGCGGGCAGTCCTAACACCCTCATGCCTGGTTGTTAGGGGGGGGGGGATGGAAATCTAGATACGAACTCAAACATCGCCTATGGCGCTTGGAGCATGTTGGAGGCGGGTATCGCTTGGATGTAGCAGTTGGGATGCTAGAGAACGTGTTCCTCTTAATTTCTCCCCTAATTAGCTTTTGTCTGCCATCGAAACGATGTTGGGCTGCAACAAATGCATGTTTTTTTGCATTGTTCTCTTTATAAGAAGACATCATGTCGGACTTTCCTTCGCTGATCCTAATTTGTTAAGACCATGCTCAAGGCAACACAATTTTGGATCATGACTACACCCACAACTGCTTGAGTGCACAGTTTTAAGCATTTTGTCAAGTACGAATATCATTATCACGATAATCGTGATCGTTAATCACAGCCGAATCTGCCAAGGTGATTGTCATGGATAATCCAACGTAGGGAACATTCGAGGCCTGGAAGCTTGAAGATGGTGCTCCCGTTGGAATAAAACTCGAACCCTGACCCTTCGATGAAAAAAAAAAACAGATCCGCGTCCCGTCTTCACTGTTTCCGTGTGGCTCAGCTGCCCCGCGTGCCAAGAGCGACGCCACCATTTTGTCTGATGTTTTCTTTCAAGTGAAGTGCTTATTCCGAATGAGGTTCATGCCGCCCGCCTTGCGTGTTTATTACCTGGGATTGCCTTCCATAACACAGCGCCCCGTGGGCGGATAGGTCAACTGCCCTGAGCGCTGACGCAGGGAGCAGCCCTTGTCTATACTGCGTCGAGGTCTCCAGACGTACATGCACGGCGGTACAGTCTACGGGTACAGGTGCCATCCGATCAGCGTGAGGTCTGCAGCGAGATGTGCCAGACCCAGTCAGTTCTTTCCTTCCTCTCATCTCCTCTATCCCTCCGCTTCCTTCTCTTCCCATCTTTCCTCTCCCTCTCTTTCTCTTCCTCTCTCTTTGCTGCGCACGCACCATTTTAAACGCTAAACCCGTTCACGACGACATTCGTAACGTACCCATGAAACAGGTGCCTCGAATCCCCCGCACCTTAAACCATTCTCGTGCAAACTTAGCATTACCTGTAAGAGAAGTGGCAGGTCCCACCACACAAGTAACAGGCTCGACCACGTGACCATGCGGGTGACGCCAGGGACCCCACAGCGTCTGCACGCTGTCCAAGACCCTGCACCACGTGACCCTACAGGGTGGCTGTGCGGCGCCGTGCCAGCCGGCCGCGGCGCGCCACGCCCACGGCCCTGCTACATAAAATACCGGCAGCAAATAGCATGCATTCCAAGGGAACAAGAGATTGTGCCAGCAGACCATGTAATCGACCCTCTGATTATTATTCCCGCACGACGGGCAGTGGCCTGCCGCGATGCCGCCGCGATGTCAGCCCTTACTCATTCATGAACGCTCACCTGCACACTCAGCGCACCGACATTTGGGAAATCAACTGATGGTGCGGTATTGGGCATTATGCAAATAGCGGGGCGTTTGCCGCGCCTTACCGCTGCCGTGCTCGCCTTCTGGCAAGGCAAAGCTGTCCCGAGAGGGCTTATAGGGACACGCCTGGCATGACAAAGCCTCATGCAATTGGCATCTTTCTAAGCCATGCAGGCTTTCGCACCCTGTTACCTGCAAACGTTTCGACAAGAAGGATACCTTTTCTCGGAAAAGTAGGCATGCACGAGCTTCGATCCGGCTTTATCGCGTAGTTCATGGTGAAAGCTACCCCTGATCACCCGCACGAGTGAGTCAAGAGCAGTCAGCCAGCACTGGGCTCGTTATTCAGATAAGCCCTAATCATCGGCTCAAGCGACTCGCCGCTGTTCCACGCAGCGGCCGCCAGCCTTTGATTAAGACCATGAGGATCTTCGCCCCGCACACACCAGTACATTCACGACCCTGAATAGCATCGCTGACAACTGAATAATTCCTCATAATTGGCGGATGGCTTTTCTACGTTCTGAATGCTGTGCAAGTGGTCGGGGCTCTGTCGTATGAGCATCAGGGTTGTCTCGCCCCTCTGCCATCGGCCGTCACTCCTAATTTCTCGCTGTTCCCCCGGTTCTCGCGCTCCCCTCTCTTTAATTCCTTTTTCTGGACGGACAATGGGTAGTTACACAGTCTCCTGTGAGTCGTTTCTCCACGTCCTGTTTTGACGCATCTAATATTATTTTTATAACCAAATGGGGGGGGGGGGGGGCTGAGTTATCGGCGACGGTCACGCGCCGCGGGGCGTTCGGGGCCGAGCGGTTACGGGCGGCGCTCAGGGCCGGCTGGCCCTGACCCCAGCCGGCCCGGCGCCAGAGGGGATCCGGGGGGAGGCGAGGGTCGGGGCTCCAGGGGAGGAGAGTCGGCGCTCCGGAGGAGGTGAGGGTCGGGGTTCCAGGGGAGGCGAGGATCGGGACTCTGGAGGAGACGAGGGTCGGGGCCCCGGAGAAGGAGAGGGTAGGGCTCCAGGGAAGGCGAGGGTCGGGACTTCGGAGGCGGCAAGGGTCGGCACGCTGGAGCACACCCCGCCGCAGACCGGCGCCGCATCAGTCGTGCCGCGCCACACTTGGCCTCGCCTGTCCACTTGTTGCAGTGAGGAGCTCACAGTGGCTCATCAGTCAGTCGGCGGCCGGTTCCACTGGAGAGTATCCACACGGATCCGCATCTTAGTGGACCGCGGAAGGCCTCCCCCGAGTCACTCCACAGGCGCTTCCGTCGTTCTCCAGGAGAACTTTGTGTGGACCCAGGCGGCCACGGCGGGCCGGCGTGTTGACCCTGAGTTACCTCCGAGGACACCTTCGTGTTGCCCCAGTCGGCTATGGAGGCGGTCCTCGCTGACCCGCGGTCGCTTCCGCGGTGCCGCCGTTGGGCCGGCCGGTGGCCAGCAGGACGCCGTGTTGACCCAGTCGTCTGTGGGTCGGCGCCGGCTGACCGACCGGCGGCGGCGGCGGCCGGCGGCGGCAGCGGCGGTCCGGACCCGCTCGCCGTCGGTCCGACCGGACTGGTCGGATCGATTGTCGCGGCGGCTCCACCGGCCGTGATCAGGCGTGCACGGCTGATTTGCCTACGGCTGTGAGCCGCCGCCCGTGTCGATCGACCTGCTGCCGCCGCCACCGCCACCGCGCCGCCGCCGCTGCCGCCGCCGCCGCCGCCGGCCGACGCGCCGGTCCGACCCGCTGGACGGCCACCGGCGGCTGACCCGGCCAGGAGAGTTGACCCTGTACGGCGTCAGCTTCTCGTGTAGGTGTTTACCCTGTCTGTAGGCCGGTGCGTCCGTTTGAAGCCAGCAATGTGGAGTCAGACCTGTGAGGCGCAGCTCCGCAGCATCACTGGGCGCCCACCACTCCATGGGCGTCCAGTGCGCTAGCGCCGTGCGGCTGCCGGGGTCAGGTCGTGACCCGGCAGAGACCACGTGGGCCGGGGGAGGGAGGTCGGCGGACCGACGACTCCCGCCTCGGGACACACCGGCCCCACGCCGGTCCGACGCATTTCGTCCCAG